ATCGTCCTGCTTCTTTCCAGGTCCGGTGTCCGCGACGGCATCAGCGTCAGCTGCAAAGGCTTGGATGGAGTCGCGCTCCAGAAGGGCACGCGGAATTCCGGTGATGTCATCTGTGTCGGCGGCGTGGACTTGTTCGCCGGTGACGAGCAGATGAGTTGACGGTGGCAAATTCGGTATTGGCCAGTCGTCGAGAGGAAGTCCTGTTGTTGGAATCCGGTAGTAGCTGTATTCGGCACCTATGACTTCGATCTCGTGCGGCCCGTGTTCTGGCCACAATGGCTCCTCGGTAGGTTCAGGTAGTTCCGCTGCTACTACAAAGAACTCGCAAGTCGCCTCTTCTTCTAATTCCTCCGCTGTGGGTTTTGGTGTGTCAGGAGCGTATTGGTTGGGAAGGGGAGGACCTCCCCAGCTGGTACCACGAGTTGCCCAATATGGGTCTGTGAGGGTGTAGCTGCAGCAGTGGGAACGAAAGGAGGAGGAGGGGAAGGGGAGACCACACACCCGCCACCCCAATGCCACTCTCCTGGCTCCCCCACACCCTCACACCCTCCCCCCCTGCGGCAGCTGCAGCAGTGGGAACGAAAGGAGGAGGGGGAGGGGGGGGGGGGGGGGGGGAGGGGGGGGCCGACGCGCGGCCTCCCAGGGCGCCAAAGCAGGCGGCAGAAGGGGCGACGCTCGCCCCCCCCCCCCCCCCCCCTAGGTCCCCCCGAAAAAGAGGGGGGGGGCGGTGCACGTGCCCCCGGTGCGCCGCGACAGGCGACGAAGCATGGCTGGGGCGGGGCCGGGGCAGGGTCGAGGCAGGGTCAGGGCATAGCAGGGGGAGGGCCGCGATAGGGCCGCGACAGGGTCACGGCAGGGCCGGGGTCGGGGCAGGTCCGGGACGGGGCCGCGACAGGGTCGGGGCAGGGCCGCGCCGAGGGGCCGATAGGGGCGGCGACGGGGCCGCGAAGGGGCCGCGAAGGGCCTGGAAGGGCGGCGACGGGCCGGTAAAGGCGGCGACGGGGCCGCGAAGGGGGCCGCGAGGGGCCTGAAAGGTCGGCGACGGGGCCGATAGGGGCGGCGACGGGGCCACGAAGGGGCCACGAAGGGCCTGGAAGGGCGGCAGCGGGGCCGCGAAGGGGGCCGCGAGGGGCCACTAAGGGTCTCGCGAGGGGCACGCCACGGGGCGTGCAGTACACAGAGTAGCAGCGGAAGCAACAGGCCAGGAGCGTAGTTTTCTCTGATAGCATATCAAAAATAGTAGTTGAGGGGCCTAGGGTTTGACCTAGGCAAGAGTGACGAGAGAGTAGAATGTCGAGAAAATTGAAAAGGAGAATGAGAATGATTCAATAATAGAAGGCATACAAGATATAGTCAAGGAAATGGGCAAATGGTGCACCACCAAGCAGGAAACTCTATAACTACACTAAACTCTAATGTAGGCATTTATAAATGTATATGAATACATTTCCACAGGGTCGATCGCTGCCACTTTCACGGTAGGGAGTCCCGAAGCTTCACCGCGGTTTGGTGGCCCCAATCCTTCTCCGGCTGATGTTCCCCACCAGCCACCATAGCTTCTTCCGGTGCCGTGGCGGTACCCCATCCGGCCGCAACTGCTTTTTCTACTTCTGCAGTTGTCGGGGGAGGAGTTCCCCAGCCGGTCGCTCTTGCTTCTCCTGTCGAGACGGCGCCCTATCCGCTTGCGACTACTTCTTCCGGAGTTAGAATTTCTCCCCAAGGGCCAAGTGCAGGCTCGGGGGTGTTCCAACCCGTTCCAGTTGCCTTGTTTTCTCCAGTGATTGGTGCCGCAGGTGCTGACGTACCACTTTCTTCTTCCATTGTGGCAGGTCCAGTTTTCGCATGATTGGAGGTCGAGGCGGTTGGGACAGTGTGCAAGCGTAGGAGACCGTCGGAGGCAGGTCGCTCAAGGTCCATTTCGGTAGGATGGGACCACGTCGGCTGCTTCGTGGCAGCATACGGTCAGAGTCGCCATTGGTTCCTTGGGCCGAGAACTGCAGCACGAAGACTCCGTCGTCATCAGTCGCCTTCCGACGACTAGCGGGCGTTTAGGGCAGCGGGGGGAGGATGCAACGCGACGGGCATGGTGGGAGGGCACGTCGCGACGAGCAGCGGGGGAGGGCGTGACGGGACGAAAAGCTGGGGAGAGCGCGACGTGACGGGCAGGGGGGGAAGGCGCTACGCTACGCGGTAAGTGGGTCGGCGGAGCGGGCGCTAACGAACGAGCGAGACTGGATCGGGTCGACGCTAACGAACGAGCGAGACTGGATCGGGCCGGCGCTAGGCTCGGGCAAGACGGGTACGACTAGTACGAGAGAGTGAAACAGGCTCGGGCGGAACGAACGAGGACGAGAGGTGCGGGATCCCACAGGATCCTAACCTAGTGATACCATGTCAAGAATGAAAGTGTGGTGTTATTGATGAGGGTTGGGGTACATATAGCAAACCCTAACATTTGTACCCCCTAAGACATGTTAGAAATATGAGGCATCAGGATATTATATGCTGTTATGTTTTAGTGTAGTCCCCTTTATAAGACTCTAGGCCCTACAATAATTGCACAATTATTGTAGGGCTAGCATTATTGGAGTCTAGAGGACTTGGGGGTAGAATTACCGTATTGGTACTCCTTTATTGGAGTTGCCATTATTAGTGGTACAATGATTGGTGTGGGTGGATGGGTGTGGGCACGGTAGCTGGTAGCATAAATTCCCTGCTATAAGGTTTCATAATCAATCCATTCGGTTGCAAATCTCTCTTGCTATTCTATTATTCAATCAAGGCTTCAGCTATGACGGCACTACCGTAATCTCCCGGACAAAACACCCCCCCATGATAGTACACCCCCGGGTAGCTTGTGCGGGGTGGGTGCTATGGGCGACCTCATTTCTACTATACCCCCCTTTTTGGATGATTTTCTATAACACCCCCCTTTTCTTACGGATTCCTATTATAGTTGCTATCGAGTCTGATTCCTTACAGGGGAATATCGCGAGAATTGCTTCCTAAATGAAATTTCGCGCGTACTTGCACTTAGAATCCGCCAACATTTCCCCCTCCCACAATCTCACTGTCGTCACCCTGGCGAATCTTTCGCTGCAAGTGGACATTTCCCCCATCCCACATTCTAGGAAGTTGCCACGCTGGCGAATCTTCCGCTGCAAGTGGCCCGAAAGGTGAAACTCACATTCTTGCCAAAACTCACATTCTCGCCTCAAACTGTGATGTTAAAACGACCATTGAAACACCCAAACTGTCTAATTTGAGAATCCTCTTGCATTAAAATATACCATATATAACCACCCGGGTATTATATAGGATTTTCCGTTGAGAGGACCCCCCCCCCTTTTTCCCTGTGGTTATCATAATACCCCCGGGTGTTATGTCCGGGAGAATACGGTATGCCTTTCTAGCACATCCATCACCACCCCGGCTAGTGCCGAGACCGAGACTGCCGCTGAGGTCGCCCGATGCCCCTACCATAGACGAACGCATCACCCTCGAAGGCCTATGACGAGATCACCCATGAAGAGTGTTGGAACAACCGTAAGGTGTCTTAACATTCCTAAAGGTGTAGCCTTATCGCACCTGCTCCTAGCGGAGCAACACATACCACTACCACATTACTACACATAGAGCACGGAGGTCAACAGTCGCGAGTTTACTGTCGCGACTGTTGACAGACCTAGACCAAGAGGTTGCGAACTGCTTCGCAAGTCCCAACCGTCTGGGAGGTTTTCGAGTCGACTCAAAACCAGTGACCTGCCAGGTGTGCTGGAGCGAATCGCCTATTATTCTTGCGGACTGAAGCGAGCCAGCCACAATGAGGGGCGAAAGCTGAGCGAACTCAGGCTATCCGGTGGGAATTAAATGGCACGCAGTGGAGCAGCGCCCCTCGACTCGGGGCAGGCAAGGCAGGGCATGGCGCACAGGAGGCGAGACGCCTCGGACGAGCCGCATGTGAGCTGTTTATTTACCCGAAACCCTCGTTCGTGAGGCGGCATAGCGTTCGGCGATCGGCGCACCAGGCAGATAGGCATCGTGCAGTGCCGCCGCGATTCCCGCGACCACAATAGGGAGAACAGTGGTACTCACCCAGCAGATGGCCATCACACCGTGCCGCCGTGTCCTTCCGGTTCTCGACCTAGCGTAGCAGTTTCCACTGAAACGAGCTCACGCCGCTACGACCGCCTATCACACGCTCGCATCAGCGACGCGGCAAAAGAACGCACGAGTATGACTCGCCCTCGCGCTCCCCCCGCCTCCATCTGCGCCGCCCCGAGCCCCCTCCACCCCACCTCGTCTCGCCCGCCATGGCTGGCGGGCATCGCCCTTCGGGAGCGAGGAGGGCGGCAAGAGGACACGCCGCGGAGGTCCAGGAAGGTGCTTGTATCTATCAGGGTCACAGCGCTGGGAAGTGCTTGTGATGGGCTAACAGTGCAGGACGGCAGTGCTACTGCAGGAGGGGCAGCAATGGAGGGTTAGAGCGTTGGAGGCGGAGAAGGTGTGCAGGCAGCGCCATCGCATGGTTGGATTACCCGCAGGGCGTGGCTGACAGACCCATATGCAGCACCATGCAGGTGAGGGGTGTGGGTGTGGGTGCCACGACATGGCGTGTTGTGCCATGCCATGCCGTGCCATGCTGGAGGAGGGGAGGGGGCAAGGCGCTGCCTTGCTCTTCCCAGCCTCAACTGTAACATGCTCCTCCTCCTCCCCCCCTCTCTCACCTTCGTCCCACCGGCTCATCTCCTGTCTCTTTTTTCACAACCTCTCGATTCTCCTTCCTCTCTTCCTTATGCCTCTTTTCTCTCTCCCCCTTGCCTCTCCTCTCTCCCTTCTCCCCTCGCCCCCTGTCCTTCCCCTTCGTTTCCCCTCTAACTGTCGTCTCCCGTTTGGCCCCCTCCCCCCCTTTTTTTTTTTCCAATTTCAGGCTGCCCACAACCTTTTTACGGGCAACGTCCAGGGTAAAAACGTACTGTAAAAATCCATTCTCTCAGGTGATGCCCCCTCCGCGCGGCCCCACCCATGCGTTCTGGCATATTCCTGTTAAGGCACCTTGCCCACCCCCATCCTTCAATGCCCTGCCCCTACCCAAGCCAATTTATTTCCTTCTTATGAACGAACCTTCCGTCCCACTGTTACAGCTGCTAGCTTCCCCTTCAAAGAGCTCCTCTCCCCAACCCCTCCTCTTCCCAAGTCACCCCTCCTTCTCCCCCATCCCTCCCTCTCCCTCCACTCCCCCGCTCCCTCCACCACTCCTCAACCCCCACCCGTTTTCTACCCCCATCCCACCGCTCCTCCACATGCATCACCGCTTTGCACCGCACAGACATATCGAGCGCCATTCTGCCAGGCATGACACTGGCAGAGCTCAGTCCACGAGCCCTGCCGCCATCTGTGCTAACGCGGCGGGTGCGGCGGCGCGCGGACGCGGCGGGCCCGGCGGCGCGCGGACGCGGCGGGCCCGGCGGCGCGCGGACGCGGCGGGCCCGGCGGCGCGCGGACGCGGCGGGCCAGGCGGCGCGCGGACGCGGCGGGCCGGGCGGCGCGCGGACGTGGGTTGAGGGAAGAGGGGTACACGTTGGTTGAGGGAAGAGGGGTGCAGGTGGGTTGAGAGTCGTGTATTGTGAGGGAGGAAGAAAAGAAGATTTTGTCGCTTACTCAGGAGGTTGTCGTGTGGTGGCAGGGAGGAGTGCGAGGGCATGAGTGGGGAGTGGTCCATCCATTCTCCCTCCATACATAGTCAGGGCAGCTGCTTGCATTGTCTACACCATCACCCCGTCAACCTGTGCCCCTTCACGTACTTACAAGGCCGAGACGCACAGGCGATTCTTCCTCCGCCTGTCCACGCCCCTATCACCCACAACTCCTTACGTTCCCCCTCACTCTCTTCCCCCCCTCCTCTATTCCCTCCCTCCCATTCTCTCACCCTCGCATGTATGCAGATAGTGGCGATGGGCGATGAGGAGGCGAGGAGGAGGGGCGTGCAGAAGAGTGTCGTGGAGAGGGGAGGCCCGCGCGAGTTCGTGGACGATGGACTGTGCACCGCTGTCGTGCTGACATCGGGGATGCCCTGCTCTCGGGTGGAGAAGCGGGAAAGTGACACTGATCACTGACTGAATCATCTGCGGGCCGTGGAGTGGGCACTGGCCCTCGCATCCCTCTCCACACCTCGCCGATCGAGCCACCTGTCCCACAAACCCGACGTTCGACCTGGCTGGCTCCTCTCATGCTCACACGTCTCACGTCCGCTCCCTTCTCCCATCATCTCCCTCCCCTCCTGTGCGCTCTCCACTACTTCCATGGGGTGCTGCAGGCAAGGCACTCCAGGTGTTGAGGCAGCACGGGGAGGTGTGGGTGGATGGCAATGTCGCCACCGCTTCCACTGTTGGTAGAACCGGTATAGGCAGCAACAACAGCGGTGGTGGTCTCCCTGGTGGCAGCAGTGCCGGTGTCACGAGAGCGGGTTCATGGGACGGCCAGGGGTCACAGAGGGACTGAGGAAGTAATGGAGCATGGGAGCGATGGGTGTGAGGGAGTGGGACGCAGCACAGCCCAGGGAGGGCGGCAGGCAAATTCAGAGAGAGCCATTGCCGCATGGCCCTCCCATCCATCCCATTCACCATTTGGCTTTGCCTCCTCAGTGGCAGCAGCGGGGAGAACAGCAGTGACACAGAATCTGTGTCACAGATAATGAGTGGTGATGATGCTGATGGGGGTGAGTGGGGGAGGTCGGCCGTGTGGTCGGGTGGCATGGCTAACAGGTCTGCCAACACTGGTGTCGGCACAAATAGCAGCTCTGCATTCATCTCCACACACCATCAGCAGCAGCATTATCTGATGCAGAACCATCAGCATCAGCATCCTGGTCTCAAGGCAGTGCGCCTGCTGGGCTCTCGGAGGTCGCCCAGGCTACGCGCTCTGACAACTCAACGCTAGCAGCTGTGCTGTGCAGGTGTGGTAGCTTATTGTGCTGGTCGTTTTTCGAAAATTCTCTTATCACGTGGCTCTTCGTCTACCGGGATTTATGAAAACAACCATGTGTGCGCATGTGCTGTGCTTTGTGCCGTGGATTGTACTGCGGCCTGTGAATGCAGCCTTGTGCAACCTTTTCTACCAGACTTTGTTGTATGAATTAAGCCCTCCACTTGTGCTACCCATCCATTCCCCCGTGAACCGGTATCGTCGGAGCACGTGGAGCAGGTGGTGGAGGTGATGGGGCTGGCTGGCACCGCTCATCACACTCACCACAGACTTCGCAGCAGCAGACGCCGTGCATGCTCTGCGCTCCAAGCTCATGGCCAACGCGTGGCTGCGAGGTTGTCAATTACCGCCACCTGCCTGTATAAGCCGTGGGTGGGCTTCAGCGAGGGGTGAGGCATGGTCGAGAGATGTGAGGCAGGTTCAAGAGGTATCACCTGCTCAAATCCGACCAATCCATTGTCCCTGCATATCATGTCCTGGGCTTGCTCTCACAACGTGGATCACTCGCCTCTCTCCCCTCACATCCTCAACACCTCCCCCCTATGTGTGCCTATCCTCTCTTTCCCCCACTGCGCTCTCCCCTCACCCCCTCCCCCCTCCTCTTTGTATCACCCCCAGGCCAACTGGTGCCTCAGGTGGTGCGGGTCCTCTGTGCCATTCTCAACCTCCCCTCCCTCGCCTCTCCTTCTCCCCCCTCCTCCATCTCCTTTCCACCTCCCTGCTTCGCTCTTCCCCTTCTCCTTCTCTTTCTTGCGCCTCGGCCCTTCGCGCCGCTGCTGCTGTCCCAGCCATACCACCAGACAAAATTTCCACCATTCATGATGAAGCAGCTAGAGAGGCCGTAACAGCAGCGACAACAGTCGCAGCAGCAGTGGCGGGAGTAGCAGCGGCAGCGGTGGCAGTCAGTTGGGTGGATGGGGCTGGTGAGGATGAGGAGGCGACGAGAGGGGCTGGCAGAGGTTCACTGGATGATGAGATTGATGTGCTGGAGGTGAGCGAGGAGGGCTATGGGGTGGGATTAAGACAGACAACTTTCTTGTATATGAAAGGCCGTAGGTTGTTACGGTTCAAAGGTGTGTGTTGGCACAACTCAAAGCAGATGTGGGGTGCTGAAATAGAGGAAAACGGGAGAATGTGTTTCCTTTGTTTTTCTCCAATGGAAAAAGAGACTGCTCACGTTTACAACGCATCGTTGATCAAGATGGACGGCACGATCGGGGTTCTTCTCGATCGAGGATGAGTCATAAACGCGAGCAGCCTCTTCTTCCGTTGGAAAATAACCAAAGAAAACATTCTTCATTTTTCCTCTATTTCGGCAACCCACATCCGCTTTGAGCTGTGCCAACGCATACCTTTAAAACGCGACAACTTACGACCGTTCATATGCGCTGGAGGTGAGGCCCATGGGATGGGATTGATGCGGTGTAGGTGAGGGCCATGGGGTGATGGTGCTGCTGGCTGCAGTGGGCCAGAGGCAGTGCACTGTGCCCCGTTGCCACAATGCGTGTGCACCATACCAGATGATTACACTACTCATCTGTGGTTCCCTTGCTCCCACCACACCACATCCCTTTACTTTGTGACACTTTCTAATTAGTTTTTTTGTCTTTCCATCCTACCTGCATGTTCCATCCTACATGTTTGTTCCGTCCTACCTGTCTGTTGTTTTCCTTCCTACCCGCCTGTTCTATCAACAGGCACCCCTCAAAAGGCAAGCATGGCAGCAGTGCTACCACGTGCCCCACATATCCTCTTCCCTTTTGCAGCTGCTTGGGGACTACCCACTCTTCTGGCAGTACACCGGCCCACTCGCCGCATCTGCATTCTCCCCCTTCATGCCGCAGGTCACTTAAAGGTTTCTGTAGGCGCCATAGGTGTCGCCATTGGTGTAGAGCATGTTGTAGGAAGTGGTGAATGCAGAGCAAAGGGTGGTGGGGCAGGTGTGGGATGGCGGGTAGAAGGGGGTGCTAAAGAGGGTTTGAGGGCAGGTGGAGTGGAGCAGAGGGGTGGATGTGTGGTGGAGAATGCAGCAGCAGCTGGGTGGAGGACTGGTTAGCTTGCCGAGGAAAGAGAGCTGATTGTATAGGCACACATTGCAAGCCAGTTTGTCTGAATTTTTTCTTAAAGCCCAAGTATAGCATGGTTATTTTCAAGTTCAAGATTCTTGAACTTGAATTCGTAAAAATCAGGGTTACCCTAATTGTCTGTACAGAACTCTCGCGACTCTGGGACAACGCCTAAGGGTGTGTCAGATCTTCTGAAACCTGTTTTGGCCGGTAATTTGTCGACCGGTCGTCAATATTTTTTCACGAATGTCGACGCATTGGTCGAATTTTTCTCGACAAATTTCGACAGTGTTTGCAAATCTGACACATTTGGTGGCCGATTTGCTGGCCGAGTATGAAATGTGTCAGCGACGGTGTCGCAGATTTCGCAGCTTTACAGTGGCGATTACAACCAGTGGCTGGCGGGGAAATTTTATGTTGAAACGGCCATCAAAATTTCATTTACGGTTGTGGCCGGATTTTGCGAGCTGCTCGAATAAATTTACGACTGTCGCAACCATGTTACTTTCGCCAAAACCGGCCAGTCGGATTAGCGTGATTTCGGATCTGACACACCCTAACGACACTATCTCCTCATTGGCTTTTGAGCACAGTCGCAAAACAGAACCGAACGTCGCTCAGGTTGGCCCACTGTTTGGCTCTCACATATCTTGAACACCTAGTCGTACTCATGATCGGCCTCCTTCCTCTCGTAAGTAGACAGCCAGTGCGCCTTCACCTAGTTCTAGGGACCGCGATTTTTACGGCAACTCCCAAGGCACACATGCTGTCTCGCCAATAGCTGGGCAGTACAAGCCTAGTGTCACCCGATATTTACAAACGTTGTCGCGTTACTCACACGGAACGTGTGGTGCAAACGACTGCTTCACCATGCTTAGGCCCTCGTTTAGCGCTTGTCGTCACCCGCGCTCCCCCTCGCCACCCGCGCCCGCCCTCGTCACTCGCGTTAGCCCTCGTCATTCGCGTTGGCCCTCGTCACTCGCTTGCCGGGATTCCGTGCTTCCCCTCGTCATGCGTTTCCCTTCGTCGCGCGCGTTTCCGCTCGTCGCGCACGCGCCTTCTCGTCACGCGCGCTTCCGCGCGATGCGCGCTCTCCTCCCCTTGTCACGCGCGTTTCCCCCTCGTGACGCGCACTCCTTCCCTCGTCACCAGCTCAATTATTCAGTCGCAATCTATTGTCCTTTGCCTCACCTGCTTCCCCCCTCCCCTCCTCCCTGCTTCCCCCCTCCCGCCGCCCTGCTTCCCCCCTCCCTCCGCCCTGCTTCCCCCCTCCCTCCGCCCTGCTTCGCCCCTACCTCCGCCCTGCTTTCCCCCTCTCTCCGCCCTGCTTCCCCCCTCCATCCCCCCTGCTTCCCCCCTCCCTAGGCCCTGCTGCCCCCCTCCCTCCGCCCTCCTTCCCCCTCCCTCCGCCCTCCTTCCCCCCTCCTTCTGTCATGCTCCCCTCATCCCTCCGCCTTGCTTCCCCTCTCCCTCCGCCCTTCTTCCCCCCTCCCTCCACCCTGCTTCACCCCTCCCTCCGCCCTGCTTCCCCCTCCCTATACCCTGCTTCCCCCCTCCCTATGCCCTGCTTCACCCCTCCCTCCGCCCTGCTTCCCCTCTCCCTCCGCCCTGCTTCCCCCCTCCCTGCGCCTTGCTTCCCCCCTCCCTGCTTCCCCCCTCCCTCCCCCTGCTTCCCTCCGCCCTCCGCCCTGCTTCCCCCCCCCCTGCGCCCTGCTTCCCCCCTCCCTCCGCCCTGCTTCCCCCCTCCCTCCGCCCAGTTTCCCCCCACCCTCATAGAGGTGAGCGTCACGCACCAGGTGCCTTCTCGTCACGCGCGCTTTCTGCTCGTCGCGCGATCTCCTCCCCTCGTCACGCGCGCTTCCCCTCCGCCACTCCAATTGGGAAGCGTTTGTCCTTATCGCCAACCCCTACCCACGTCGCCATCGACACCATCGTGTGTAGCAACTCCCCCATACGCCCTCGCTCCTTCCAGCCGCAGCAACTCCTTCCATACTGATGTGAGGGGCAGAGCAGGAGAGACAGAGGGGGATGGACAGGGGGGATGGTGTCACAGTGAAAGAATGATTGATGGGCGGGAACAGGAAGGGAACGGGCGGGGGAGATGAGAAGGACAGAAGGGGAAGGACAAGGGGGAGAGGGGGAAGGACAGAGGGGGAGAGACAGAACAGGCGGCGAGGAATAGGGGGGAGGACAGAGGGGGAGAGACAGAGGGGGAAGGATAAATGGGGAGAGACAGAGGGTGAAGGGCCGAGGTTGAGAGACAGACGGGGAAGGATGGAGGGGGAGGAACAGAGGGGGAAGGGCAGAGAGTGAGAGACAGAGGGTGAGAGCGGGTACTTCCCTCACTCCCTCTCCCCATCGACCTTGCTTCCCCCTAATTGTTTACACCCCTCGTTATTTTGACCAACCTCCCTTTCTCCCACCAGCTCTGTTCACCCCCCAATCTATTCTCCTTTGCCTCACCTGCTTTCCCCCTCCCCTCCCCCCTGCTTCCCCCCTCCCTCCGCCCTGCTTCGTCCCTCCTTCGGCCATGCTTCCCTGATCCCTCTGCCCCATCCCCTTCCCTTCTTCCCCTCATCCCCTTCCCTGCTTCCCCCCATCCCCTTCCCTGCTTCCCCCCATCCCCTCTCCATGCGTCCTTCCACTCCCTGCCCAGGTGTCCTACCTCTCTCTCTCCTTCATTCCGCACTCTCACTCTCCTTCCTCCCACACTCTCTCTCACTCTCAGTCCTCTCGCACTCTCTCACTCGTCCTCTCGCACTCTCACTCACCTTCCCACCACCCTCAGGCCTCCTTCCCCCCACCCTCTGCCCTGTTCCCTACCTGCCCTCTCAATCCCTGCGTTTCCCTCCCTGCCCTGCCCTTCCCTTCCGCATCCCTTCTCAACCCTTTCCTTCCTTTTCATGCCCTCCCCTTCCCCCTCACTCCTCACCTTCCGCCCTCTAGTTCCCATGCATGTGCACCCATCACTGTCACCCCATACATGCTTTCATCATGTGCCTCTGCTTGTTGTACCCCCTTGCGGTTGTTCCCTTGCACCTCACACCACCTCCCCCATGTTTCTTCACACAATTCTTTCTGCCTACACCGCTCACCTAATTTTCAGTGGTGAAGCAGAGGAGCAAGCCGAGGCGTAGCTAGTCGATGCTTTACACCGTACCACTGCCTGTTTTAAGTTTGTTGTATGCAAGCATGATATGAGAACACTGTTGGATACGGTATATCCATCCCAAAGGCACAATATGTACTTTTGTTTCTGCAGTACAATATTTTCTTCCAAGATGCATGGACACGAAGAGTGTCAGAAGGGAACATAGAGGCATCACCCTACTACTTTTGATTGTACCTTTCTCAAGGCATTGAAAAACACATGAGGGGAACTGGTTTCTCTACGAGCATGGCATGGGATGATGGGCTGAGGCGAGTTGCAGTACCAGAAAAAGACTTCAGCGTAGTCAAGTCACTGCAATAGTCAGGGAGAGGGAGGTAATATGGGGAGGGGGGACAAGAAAATAGTCAAACAGGGGATAGGGAAGAGGAGGGGGAAGAGGGAAGCAGGGGGGAAGGGAAAGGGGAAGCATGTCAGCTGAGGTGTGGCAGGAGGAGCACGTAAGGGGTAGGAGGTGAGGGGAAAGGGGAGAGGGAAGATATGGAAATCAGGTAAGGTAAGCAGGTGGGGGGAGCAGGGAAAAGTGGTCAGGAAGAGATGAGAAACAGAGCAAAGAGGGGGAGAGGATGAACGGGGGAAGGGCGCGGCCGTCAGAGAGAAAGGAATGAGGAGGGGGAGAGGGGGAGGGGTGAGACACACATGAGAGGTTGAGACATGCAGCAGTGGACAACACTCCCCCCTCGAATTCCTTTTTCCTACCCTCCCTCCCTGCCTCATGCGGGAGGAAGAAAACGGGTGGGGGGAAGGGAGGAAGATGAGGAAACTGAAACGAGAATGAATGAACTATGAATGAGTTGGGTACAAGTACTAACCCTAATTGGGTTGTACCCCTTATGGGCTACCCCACTATAGCCTACACAATATGCATAAACTATAATGTTCTGACACACCCCCATAGGCAAAGTGGGGGAGAACAAGGGGTCACAAGACCAGTCAAGCAAAGCAAAGCAAAAAAAGCTCAGGGTGGATCACAAAGTCACCACGCATTCCGAGCACAAGTTCAAGGCCACAAGGCTAGTTCACATGCAAGAATACAAATATATAAAAAGGCTAGACAACAAAGAGCAGGTGTACATATATATGTAACAGTACAAGCAAGGTCAAGAGGTGAGCAAGTGAGGCAAGGCGGGCACAAGACCCAGCTGAGTACAGAAGCGCTGATGGTCACAAGGCGCAAGCGCCTTGGTGAAGATATCTGCAGTGTTGGCCTCAGAGGCCACGTACGCAAGACGCAGCTGACCACGCTGCTGCAGCTCACGAGCAAGAAAGTAGCGTAGAGCAATGTGCTTCGTTCTGTGCTCCAGTCGCTGCTCCCGACACAAGGCCAGCATGGCCTTGTTGTCTACGTACAGCACCGGAGGAGAACGAGGCGGCTCTCCGAGGTCAGTCAGCAGGTAGGTGAGCCAGCGAAGCTCCTTTGCAGCCATGGCTCCTGCGTAGATCTCAGCCTCACAACTGGAGCCGAGAACAGAAGACGAGCGAGTAGCCCGCCACGAAACAGAGCCGGAACCAAGGCTGAAGGTGTAACCCTGTGACGACCGCTGCGTAGCCTGGTCGTCAGCCCAAGAAGCGTCTGCGTGCCCAGTGAGGACCACTAGACTCTGCCCTCCAAGCACAAGCCCCATGCCCGACGTACTGCACAAGTAGCGCAACACCCTCTTCGCTGCAGCCATGTGCTCTGGTCGGTGTCTCCCAGGAGCAACATAGCGTGCGAGAATGCTAAGAGGGTATGCGAGGTCAAGTCGTGTGCAGGTCATCAGGTACATGAGACAGCCAACAAGCTCTGGGTACGGGCCACTCGGCTCTACGGACTCATCCAAAGGCAGAGCTGAGAGCGAGTGGCGAGTAGGTAGAGGAGTGGCCTGAGGCGAGGAGTACGTGAAGCCGAAGCGCTGAAGGACCTGCTGCACCATGTGAGACTGAGTCATCGTAATGGTGCGGCGTGCTCTGTCCCGAGTGATCTGCAAGCCAAGATAGCTGCGCAGTTCACCCAGGTCAGTGCACGTGTGTCTCTTCTGCAGCTCGGACTTCACGTAGGCGAGTCCAGCACTCTCAGTTGTGGCAAAGACCAAGTCGTCGACGTACACAAGGATGTAGAGCGGCGGCAAAGAAGTGTCGGTGCGCAGAAACAGCGACAGGTCGGCAGTAGAGGGAGCAAACCCAAGAGCCGCAAATGTAGTCCTCAGTGTGTCGTGCCACTCACGCGGTGCCTGGCGGAGACCGTAGACTGGCCGCCGAAGGCTCCACTGGGTGCCAGGAGGAAAAGTCCCAGTGAAGCCAAGTGGGCGGCGCAGCCAGATCTCCTCGTGTAGGCTGCCCTGCAGGAAAGCAGTGTTGAAGTCAAGAGAGTGTAGCTCGTAGTCACGGTGAGCAGCTACGTGCAGCAGTACCCGAAGAGTGGTCATCTTCGGGGTGGGAGAGAAGGTCTGAAAGTAGTCAACTCCCTGCCGTTGACTGAAGCCACGAGCCACGTAACGCGCCTTGAAGACAGGCGGAGAACCCGGCGGCCGCTTCACCCTGAAAATCCACATGCCACTAACGATGTTCGCCCCACGAGGGGGAACAGCGTCAACGTAGGTGCCTGTCGACTTCCAGGAAGCCATCTCTGTGTCCATAGCTGCCTGCCACTGAGAGGAGTAGGGACCCTCTATCGCCTCCGCGTAAGAGCGCGGAGTCGGGATGTCAAGTGCATCCGGGTCTCCCTCAGGGGTAAGCAGTACGGACACGAGATGAGGTGATGCAACGGCCAAGCACTGGAACTCCTCCTGCCTGTCCTCAAGGACGTCCGTGCCAAGGGCACACTCACCCCCGGCGGACGCAGGACAGACAGACTCAGAATCAGCAACAAGACTGGCGGCGTAGTCTATGCGACAGCGAGCAACAAAGTCGACGAGCTCAGCAACTAGGGCAGACGCAGCAGTGGACTCAAAGGAAGGGTCAGTGACAACAGTAGCAAGGAGACGCGTGACAGTAGGACTGGCAGCACGAAGAGAGTCCGACTCCGGGTCGGCAAGAGCAGGAAGAGAGGACTCAGGAGGAGAAGGCACAGGGGCACGCAGAGGAGCAGTGGACGGACGCAGAGACATCCGGTGCGTGCCAGGGACAGGAGGAGAACGTTGACGCGAACCGCGACCACTAGTGCGAGCAGCACGGACAGGCGACGCAGGGCGAGACGCAGGCTCACGACGCTCAGCAAGACCTCAAGTAGGACCAGTGTAGGGAGACGGAGCAGGCAGTGGGGAGGCCGGCTGTAACTGTAACTGTGACGGGACAGGCTGTGGACACTTTAAGGGAGGAGGAGGACCAGTAGAAGACGCGAGACCAAGAACCTGCTGAAGGAGCGGAACGAAGTACGGCCGAGGACGCGCGGCGACTCCAAACACAGCAGGGACAGCACCAGCACCCCCAGCGGCAGCACCAACACCAGCAGCACCTCCAGCTCCAGTACCTCCAGCAGCACCAGTAGTACCCCCAGCAGGACCGCCTCCTGGACCGACAGCAGTAGCCTCCGCGCCATCACCCGCAGCAGCTCCAGCTCCACAAGTACCCGCAGGCCCAGCACCTCAAGTGCTCCCAGTCGGAGCACCTCCGGGACCCGCGGCACCAGCACCCTCAGCAGCAGTAGAACCTCCAGCTCCAGCAGCACGCCTCCAGCGCCGGGCAAACCACTCACGCAGCTCCTGTGGAGAGAGTGGCTCCCAGCGAGACGAAGCACCAGCAGGCTCAGCTCCCTCACGCTCCGCACCCCTAGGCTCAGCACCTCCAGGCTCAGCACCCCCAGGCTCAGCACCCCCAGGCTCAGCACCCCCAGGCGTAGCACCCCCAGGCTCAGCACCCCCAGACTCAGCACCCCCAGGCTCAGCACCCCCAGTCTCAGCACCTCCAGGCTCCGCACCCCCAGGCTCAGCACCCCCAGTCTCAGCACCCCTAGGCTCAGCACTCCCAGTCTCAGCACCCTCAGCAGCACCAGAGTCACCAGTGACCTCGACAGGCTCAACAACGTCTACCTGGGACACACCTGAAGGGGCAGGACCCTGAGTGGGGAGGGGGTCTACCTAGGGGGGACCTGGCACAAGGAAGAGCGGTGGCGGGGGGAGGGACGGAGTGCGGTAGGGGAAGAGACGGTAGTAGGGGACCGACTCGTCGAATGTGACGTCCTGGGAGGACAGAACACGGCGAGAGGTGGGGTGGTAGAACTGCCACCCTGGCGCGTCAGGGGGGAAACCCAGGAAGACGCAAGGAGCAGCACGAGGGGACAGTTTGTCCACAGACAAGTCGCGGACAAACGCCCGAGATCCCCAGACACAGAACGCAGACGCATCGCCAACCTTCCCCATCCACAGCAAAGCTGGGGAGGTCTCCGGCATGGAGACCCTGGGCTGAAGGTTGATCTGATGCGCCGCGTACCTGACCGCAAACGGCCACAGAAAATGGGGGGCAGCCGCATGCATCATGGACGTACGGGCGCTGAGCAATCCCATTTTGCTGTGGAGAGTCTGGAAGCGTGAAGGTCTGGCGGATGCCTCGTGCACGACAGTAGGCTCGCAGAAGGCCAGAGGAGAACTCTCCGCCTTTGTCAGAGTGCAGACGCAGAACAGGAAAGTTCGAGCCGAAGCTCCGCCTGAGCTGGAGACGAGCTACGCGGATCCAGTCGATCAACACCTCAGTGACATCACCCTTGCTGCGCAAGGGGAAGACTGTGGTGTAACGCGAGTAGTCGTCAACCATCAGCAGGAAGTAGCGCTCGTGACCCTGTCCACGGACGCGGGCAGGGCCC